GACTTGTACACCGTTCTGAGACGCAGGGTGGTGCTTCCCTGCTTCTTGCATGCCAGCATCAGCACCGCTTCCTCGTCAAGATGAGGAGTAAAGCAGCAAGTGACCCCCTTTTTCACTGCAAACAAAGGGGGTGCCACAGCAAGACAATCAACTAGATTTCTTCAGATTTGGTAACAACAGGCTGGTCAACGCGAACGTGTCGGTTCTCCCTGCTTCTTGCTCAAGACCCACAACTATCAGAGCAAACATTGAGCAGCAGCAGCACGTAACCCCTCCGCTGCAAACAAAGGGGTCAAACGTTTGTCGTCAATTCACTTCCAGGCAGAAAAACCATTTTCCTCAAAAGAAACAATTTATTTAGAATGAAACAAAATCAGCTCAACTGTGAGCGCATGTTTGAGTGACAGCTACTTTTAAGCTGTGTGAGCCATAAAAAGGGTATTCCTTTACTTTTCCAGCAATCTTGTGTACACAGCACAAAGCAAAGAGGTCATTTTTTTTTCCACTTAAAACACGGGCATTGGCATCACAATAGCAGATACACAACTTTTTTTTTTTTTTAAGCTGCCATTTTAGTAAAATGCACAAATACTAAACAGATAAGCTTTCTTCCATCAAGAGGCCCATGTAAATTCCACATAAGCCACAGCTTCTCTTCCCAAAGGTCCATTAGAGCTTGGTATCCCATGCGGTTGTCTTCTGCAGTCCACCAGCTTTGCTTGCAGGAGGAAAGAAAATGTTATTTCAATACAAATGTATACAACAGATTTTTTTTTTTTTTCCCCCTCCCTACATTATACAGATGAACACAAAGAGCTACAAGGCCTTTCTGAATGTTCTACTTGGACTTCAAAAAGCACCAATTCCACCCACGGGCACGAAACCTTGAAATGAAGTCACCTTCTAAGTATAGATGCATAACAAGTAGTGCAGGACTTCTTTTTGGACCAAGGTTAAACTAGGCTTACAGTACTAATGATTATTCAACTTTCAGTAACGGTAATGGGACACGTCAAAATAATTAACCGTGAGAAAAACCAACTGAATTATTGATAATTCAGTTGACTTTCCTCAAAGAATATTTCCTGAAGGCAACTCATCAACAAAAATATAAAGTGTAGTGTTACACGTTTCTCTTTTTGTTCTCATTTTGGTGCGTAATTCTAATAGCAGACAACTTCAATATTAAGAAAAGGTCAAATCAAAGACACACCAAATATTAAAATTGTTACTATTCAAGTCACTTCTCATCCATCATTTTCACACAATCAAAACTGCATGAAGTTGAATATTCAATTAACCATTCTCTGAACAATACGGTCTGCTTTAAGCCTAATACAGAAATCATCTCATCATTCAGTTTATAGATCATTGGAATATCTGTCCTTCGGTGCTATCTGCAGAAAGTAATAAAAATGGGGGAGACAAAGGGGGAAGAACCCCAAAAGCTCTATAGTCACATGGCAATAATTTCTTCCACTCTTGTTTCCATTCACCAGGCATACAGCAGACTCCCCAGGAGTACTGCCCTCAACACTGTTTTACTTAAAGCCAGGACTACAATTTTCCAAGCCATTTTTTCCCTGAGTCCTCAGAATTTTTGAACCTGTCTTCACAATTTTGATTCACTCCTCCTCCCCATTAATACTTAAGGCCTTTCACCTCAGTTACCATCAACCAGACAGTTCCCAAGCCAATACAAGAAATCTAAAAGTCTCTTCTCTGCCCTCCACAGGGGGCTGAGCAAGTTGTCATCAAAACATTTCAATCTTTTAACAACCTTGTAAAAATAAAATAAAGAGAGAGGGTAAGATTTGTCTGCTTGACACAACACCCTTCTCTCTCTAAGATGCTTACAAGGATGCGTCGGTACTCGTAACCTGGGAGCCTGAAACCTCTGGAGTTGAGGGTAACCTCGGTGTTCCGCGCCGCGGTGCCAGCGAACAGCAGACCATACGCTAGACGGGAGCAAACAAAGCCACTGGCCGGCAGCCAAGGAAGTTGCGTAAAGTTTCCAATTCAAAAAAAAAAAAGCCAAGAACTAAAATCTTAAACAAAAGTATGAGTCATTTGAGGTTCTTTCCCCCAAAGCATAAAGCACAACTATGAAATGATTCAGGAAAAGGACATCCTTTTTCCACGCTAATTCAACAAACTAATGAAATATAGGAACATCAGCTGCACACAACCTTAGAAGAAATACTGAGCTCTCGCTACAGCAACGTAATGCCAGACACGACAAGAGAGCTAAAGTCTGCTACATTTGTTTTGCTCTATACAGAAGTGGTATTACATACGGACTTCTACTCGCGTTCAGCCTTGGCCAAGACTTTTAGTGGACAGTTACTCCAATGGTGCACACTCTCAGAGCCTAAGAGAAAAGCACAGCCGACCAAGCTGTACCAGCCTTGATGGCAGCACGTGAACTTAAGTGCCGGCAAAAAAAATGTTGCCAGTCAACTATGTTTTGACATTAAGAACCCTCAAAGGGTGTTAAAATCATTGCTTACAAAACAGAGCAGCAACCACAAATAAACCAGATTTAAAGAAGCAGGTACTCCATTAAATAAGGAACCAGAAAACCTGGAGTCACATACAGCCTTGCCTGTTCCTTATTACCCTCCAGCACAGCACAATTTTGACTCATAAAAGCCCGTGGCAGGTATAACCGCCGCTATTTTACAAGGAAAAAATGGAAGCGCACCCTAGGATGTTCTTTCCAAAAGGGTTCCCGCACTGAGTTTGCTTTGACAAGCTATGTTGACCCCAAGTTTTATGGGTTTTAAAAACAGGTGCCTACTCTGTATCAGCGTAACAAACACTGTTCTCAGCAAGTTTATGTGTTGAACACAAACAACATTAGTGCTTTTTTTGTTTTTGTTTTGGGCAGATTTGAATTCCCAGCAGTTCAAGTTTCTTTCCTTTAAGACTCTGCGTTTGCAGAGATCTGACTCAGATCAGATGCAACGAGAAAACTCACTCTAACCGCAAGCAGCGCTTGAAGTGAGTTAGCGGCAGTGTTGATTACCTGCTGACACACACCAGACACCCGCTAGAATTAAAACAGACATTCTTTGCAGTAAGTGGCAAATACGCTGTATCTTCTAAAACATAGTTATTTGTGTTATCGGTGTCATTTCAAAAAATTCTCCTTGTTAATAGTAAGATGAAAAGCTGAATTCTGCCATCTATTACATTCAAGCTGAAGGGCAACCACCCAGAAATCCTGGATTTTACCCTCAAACATTTAAGAGCATTAAATGAGGCTTGTACATTTCCATTTGAAAAGCAAAGTAGCTATAAAAACAAAATCCGTTTTCAAGATATGCTGCCACATTCAACTTCTCAGTTCACCACGATGCTTGGGATACTACGTCTGCTCATTCCAGCCAGATAAAGGAAATCAAAGCCCACTTAACCAAAGCACTCTCTGATGAGTGGTTCAGTAAAGCGGTAGTACAGAAATTCGTATTTTTGTGACAGTGAATCTCAAGCAAGTACAGTCACACTTCAGAACTGCTGTGCCCGTAAAATACATTCAAGACATTTCCTCCTTCATCTACTATTTGCAACTTATTCCACATTTTGAACTTGATTTTCACCGGGCAAGTTGAAACAGAAAGCAACTTGTCCCTGCATCATTTGCCCAAGGAATATAGCGGAGGATCAACTGAGTGCAGCAGCATCGCTTTCACATTGCCCAAGTCTCTGAAAACATGGCTAAGTGCAAGGCTACATTCTGGGTTTAAGTGCAAGATTACAATTTTTGGGCCTGTAAGTAGATACAGATTTACACTTCAGTTTAGCAGCTAGCTGCAACATCCTTTTGGTTGTTAAACAAGAGAACAGGGATTTAGATCCCTTCTTCCCTCCTAAATGCCTGTATTAGCAAGGCGGCCAAGACAGCTGGAGAAAAGTGCCAAATAAGTGGGGAAGAAATGTAAGAGAAAATGAACTAAGTTCTTTGGGGGGGGGGGGGGGGGCGGGGAGCGGGGGGGAAGCAACCTGTTTCCTCCTGAATCACAAGAACAAGAGCTCAAACCTCAGCATCTCTGAGTACTTTTAATACTTTTCCAAGATGCTAAAAACACTTTACTCCAGATGCCTATAAAATGATAAACCTCATGTAATGCCCACTGTACTGTACCTGAAAAGTCCCTAGCAGACAGCAGTTTCTTGCTATTAACAAAGAGGTAAAACGTTAATGAGAACTTTTATGTAATTAAATTATCACAGAATTAAAACCATCTCTGGAGAGAAGCACACTTGCTCAGAGTTTGCACTGTGGAACCAGACCCCACTGTACCTGCAACTCTTTGAAAAAAGGCAGTAAAAACAAAAAACCACAATATAACTAAAGTTATTCTTAAAGCACCTCCTTGTTTCTTGCATACCAGAGTAAGCACAAGACATTCATGGTTTGTAACAAAGTCCTCAGCTATTTACCAAACATTGTCACTGCTACAAACCCAAAGTGCATATATGGGATACAACAGAACTCAGAGAAATAGGAGAAATACACCTGTTAAAAAAAGCATACTTTCAGTGCATGCATTTTGAGGGGCTGGATGAAATTACCAAACACCCAATAAAGGAATTAAATGTTCTGCAGTGTACCCGAGAGCAGGTGCTGGTCACCTGAAAGACATCAACCTTGAGCCACGCAACTCAAAGGGAAACCATTCAGGCTCCTGAGGAAAGGGATCAGGCCTGCCAAAGGGCCGCTGGCCTGAGGCCATTGCAGAATTTCAAGGACTCAAAAAATGAGCTGACACCAGTCCACTAGTAAATATGTGGTTTTCCATTTAAACTACCAAGTGCTTTAAATCTGGTCTTTTAGGTTTGTAACTCTATCGAGGATGAGCTATTGAACTTGCTTTAAAATACATGAAATGAAAAAAGGACACGAATCAAAATTAAGAAGACGGGAGTTTGTTCTTTCCCCCCCTCCCCCAGTTTTTGTTTTTTTCTCTTTTTTTTTTTTTCTTTTTTTAAATCAAAGCAGGCCTAGCCTCCCTGCTACCCCCACTGATAGGGGATTCTCAAAATATCCTATTCACGCTAACGGCTAACCAACCTTTCTGGCTTCTAACTTTATAGAAAAATGTAGTAACAGAAAAATGGGCAGGGAAAGTCACCTACAAACAAAGATCTAATTTAAAATAATGACAGGACTGGCTAAGGCTGTATCCCATAGCACCTGGCACACGCTGGAGGGGCTGTGTGGAGGAGTAGGCAGGGTTGGGTACAGAGAACACGAGGGCCTTAGGACGCCCCACGGACAATGATCATGACCAGATAGTCATCCTCTGATTTGGCCAGTGCCTTGGCCGTGGAGTCCAGGAATTGCTGGGAGAAATCGCAGGGCGGAAAGGCGTGCAGGACCCCGCTGTTCTCCTTGTCTTTGTTACCCCCCACAGGGAGGCTGATCACCCCAGCAGCCTGCTTTTGCTTTAGATAGGACACCAGATTCCTGAGTGGCCTCTGGGTGGAGGTGGTGGCGGCCTCGGCAGCTCCAGCTGCAGAGCGGTTGTCTGATGCGCCAGGCACAGCCAAAAGGATGGCATAGCCATTGGGACCCGCCACTTTGATGCGACGATTGACCTCGTCCAGCTTGGGCTGGTCCAGACGAAGACGTTGGGTGATCTTGAGCTGAGCTACTTTCCCACCAGTCGCTCCCTCCACAAGGAGACTGCTGGCAACACCGAGGTCCCCCTGAAGCAGATGCATATTGGATGGGAAGTTGCTGTTCTTCAGCAGAAGCATCCCCTGCCAAGCCAAGCACAGCTTGGGGGCTCCCCCAGCCTGCGATGCTCCGTCCTGCTGCTGTTTCTGAGGAGGAGGTTTGAGGCGGGAGCCTCCGCCACCTCCTTCCGTAGCACGCTCATCCTTTTTGGCTGGACTTTTGCACTCCTGTGCGGCAGCTGCCACAGAAGCACGATGCTTCCGCTCCCGTTCGGCAGAATTCTTGCGGTCACGCTTTTCGTTCTGACCCCGCTCCAAGCTGCCCCTGCGCGACTCCCGGACAGGTGAAGGCCGTTCCAACAGGAGCAAGCGAGAGGACGAGCGCTCGGGGTCACTACTGTAACGCTCCCTCCCTCCAAGGAGCTCAGGGCTGCGGTCCGGTGGAGAGGTTGTGGCTAAACAGTGACGCTTACGGGAAGAAGAAGAGCGCTCGCTGTCTGGAGAGCGGTCCAAGTGCCGGCCTCCATCCTCCGCCAGTCTCCGTTTCCTAGGCTGATCCCTACTACTACTGCCCAACTCCCTCTCCCCTCGGTCCCTCTCCAAGGACCAACCATCCCGGCGGCGCTCTAGGCTTTCCAGTGGGTCATAGGCAGCTGCCCGATTACTCCTATCCCGTACAGGGGGTGGGGGAGGCACCCACTCTGTCTCAGGATAAAGGTCTCTGTCGCGGTCTCTATAGAGTAACGGTGGCGTCCTGTCCCGGGCCCCC